GTGGGTCCTGCGGTTGTCAATGGGGTAAGACACTAAAAATAATGGAAGTAATGGAAAATTCCAGAAGATTTCAGGGGCTTTCAGAAAAATTAGAGAATAAACAAAAAAAAATTCTCACCTGTATTTTTTGGTACATCAAAAGCAGCATACAAATACAGATAATTTACTGATGGCAGACATGCACAACATAACACGTAAAGACAATTCAAGCTAGCTGACGGCATTTTCAGTTTGCAGCCTACAGACATCAAAGTGGACAATCCACACAATAATTGGTCAGTCACCGTCTCATCGGTACTAAAAGATCTGCTTGAACAAATTCACCTAGCATTTATCAATTAGAGTAAAAGTGCATGCCTAGCAGATAACAGCATACTCAATGCCGCCAACAAATTCGGTTGACAACTAGTAAATATAGCCTCGGCTACGTGATTGTTATTTCTATCGCTGCCGTCATCTAGAAAAAATCTAAATAAATGTAATGATACGTGAGATTACAAAAATTTAAACTAATGTGATGAAAACCTTGTAAGCATAATGCATCAACAGCAGCATATATAGCTTGGATGAAGTCAGCCAAGACAGAAGTTATTCGCGATACCACGTAGCCATCGGGGATCGTTCCAGCTTCGTGACGTTCCAAACTGTCTAACCTAAACTCACATTATTGACTGTAGATTGCTTCGCTCTCTTGCACTCTGAAGTCCTGTATTAAAACAAGCAGTGGTTGCTTTCGGTATGAGCCTGCGACACGAACGATCACGCACTTACATAAATCGTTCGAGCATTCAACAATATGGTCAAACCCAAAGATCATTCGAGTAAACGCGCGTACATTAAAAGTCTAAACATTTAACAAAAAGGTCAAACCCAGAGATTTCGAGTAAACTGAAAATTATTCAAACTGGACTAAATTAGGAGTAACTCTGCGAAAAAAATTGACCTTGACGTCACTTTAAAACATTTCGAATTGACAATGTCATATCAAAACAACATTCTAGCACTGTACACCTTACTTTAACCTCGGCTTTGGTTACATCGTATCCGTGAAATGAATTGGTCTAAGTTGAAAAAAGGCTACGCATATCGTTTTGAGGAAATCGTCGTCTAAATTAGACAACAAGCTAAGTATTTATGCAGCTCTCTAGAAGTAGTTACAAAACGAGAGGGGTCATATTTACAATTTTCCCTTAACTTTTGATGAGAACGATTATGAACTGACTTTGAGTTTTACGCAACTCGTTTGACACAAAGAGAAAAACTAAAAAAAAGCCAGGAGCTGATTTGGGTTGTACAATGAATTTACGGAAAACTTTGCAGCATCAAATTTTTTTCGGAAACGAAAGTTTGAAGAAATATCTGAAGAGTTTTTGAAGAAATTTTTGTTCGTTATAAACATCTAGTAAAGTTAAGGTCATTTTTGCTCTTACTATGGGATAAAGGGTAAACAGCAAAACTCACAATAAAGATTTTTTTGAAGAGAGCTGCTCCACATAAGGATGCCAAACATTGGAGAAATAAAATCCGGATGAGTTCCTTGGTTGGCTGATATCAAGTTCCAAATCAACATCTGTTGAAACGAGAAGACATACGGACTATCAGAGCGTGAAAAAAAGAGTTAATTACCAGATGTCAGTTTCGTAGGAGTAAAGCTCTGTTGAACCACACTAAAAATGCTGCTCGTCAGATGCTCCAAAACTTTTGTAGAGTTCGAGCGAGCATCAAAATTTTCACAAAGCCATCTAAATGTCAAACTATTCGATACGCTCTTTTCAAGAAACAACTTCTAACCTGACTATATCGGGTCTCACAATGACACGATGAAGAGCCTCGAGTGATAGCGCACGCTGCCACCCTCTTCGATCAACATCTACGAATTTCATAAGGGAAGAGAGGAATATCTCACACTCAGTGGGCTGCAATTAATTGCCAATGACAATGAACTTCAAAAAATCTTTAAAAATAATCTACCAGCAACTGATGGTACAATGATATGAGGCAAAGTATAATCCGTACGAGACGCATCGCGATAGGGAAATAAGGTCGATCGGTAGGCGCATTCTGAGAAGACGAAGAACGAGATGACGGATGCTGAGAAGAAACCTAGAAAGTTGAAAATTTCGGACTTGGTAAGGAACTGTGCCACAAAAATGTAGTTAAATCTTAGTAAAACATGAATCTGCTGCAACGCACATGTGCCGATTTCAAACTTGGAGAGAATAGTTTGATGACCAGTGGGCAAACTTCGGACTTTAACAAGTCGCAAAACTCGGGATGCTGAATGGTCATGATGAGGCAATCTTATATAATAATAATATTATATAATATAAGTGGTCAAACTTCAACTTACCCTAAAAAATACACCTGGATAACTCTTCAAAATTGATTCAATAAGCTCTAGTCCAAGCGTACGAGTCATTTCGTGAATCCCTAACAGCCAAATACTGGGCTTAGCGTTAATGAGCAGGCATAAATCCTATATCAACGATTAAAGTAGTCAAAAATAAAAGCATAGTGGAAAGCTAAGCGCACAGTGAAGTACTTTGAATAACATGTATGCATCAGCAGCACATGGCCGAAGAGTGGGGGGCGCAGATCGCGGCGACGGTCTTCCTCCAGAAGAAGCCACTACGGTCAACTCTGCATTGTTGAAAACGCCGTCCTCCTTAAAAAAAGACACCCATAACTTAAGAAATCTTCAAAGAATATTGGATCACTTTCTACCAATAGAAGTATCTTCTACTTTTCACCTCCTAGAAGAAAAAACAATCACCTGAATGACACGTTCGAAGACACATCCTACAAGCTGTCGTACTGCAGCCGAAGCAGCATTGATTACAACTGGATCCTTTGCAAAATGCATACGGAAACACATAACAATGCACTGAAACGCAAGCGTTCATGTACTCATGATCACAACGAAAAAGATAACAATTCGATGACCTTGGCTAGAGAATTTCCAGTAACAAGCAGGTCTGCCGATACCAGAGGAGGTACGGTCTGGAGAACTCGAAGTTCTTCACACTCCACTTCGACGAGACCCCAGAGTTCACTAACAACAACATTGGCACAACTCTAAATGCAAAAACTTCTTGAACGATTTGAAATACACAAGTTCAGGTTAAAAACGCTTACGGCTTCTAACACACGATGTTGGACTAGTCGCTGGATGCTTTGTAAAGCAATTTGCACAAGTTTTGTTTGACGTGTAGCACATGCGAGAATAAGAGGATGGAGTAGCTCATTACTAGCTGCCCGAAGATTCGTTAGAAGATTTGACTCGCCAGATGCAGTACTGATGTTACGGACTCTCACAACCCCTGATTCGGCAGCCTGTATAAAAAAATGAAATGTTTTTAGCCTAGAGCTTCGTGTAGTAGTCAAATACAATTCTCCAGCTTTAAACAAATCAACGTCTTCTCATAGGCGATGAATAACTCTACAATTAAGAAAAGAAACAATATGGGCATTTAATTTGCCTTCTCCCATGATCTTCACCTAATCTAAGTGTAGAAAAATTTTATCACTTCCTGCCGTTTCTGGCCAGAGCAAAGCGATCGATATGTACGAAATTGCAAATCAAGGTCTTTGCAGCCAACTGGCAGTATGTCTAAGTGACTCTAAGCAATTGCGAATGACTATGAATCGATGAACAGATCACGTCCATTTTGAATAAGCCTATTTTCACGCTTCTGTGAACTTGAAGCAAAAAAAAAAGTGTTCATTGATAGCAAGCCAATTGCCAAAAATCTTTCTCCGATACCCGCTTATGCTGCTTCGGACACAACTAGTGTGATCTTGAAATTATATCAAGCAAAAAAAGATGAGGAATCAAGCTAAATTGTCAAGTAGATTAGTGCAAGAGGCATATAAGGTGGTTGCAGATAAAACAGCATCCAAGGGCCAGCTCAAAGGACCAGACTACAGACATCACATATCACAAGGACACTTTTCGAGCACTGTACAAATATCTCTACTAACGTATTAATTCAACACTGACATGGGAATAGGTAATACTAGAGTGATGCGATCGCGAAGAATCAATAGTATGAATATTTTGAAGAAGAATCAAAAAATTTGAAAAAACCCAGAAATATTATTAGACACTAGAAGAAAGACTTTCCCTCCCCTAACTAACGATTCTCTTTACCTCTTTCACATGGTTATGTTTCTTCTTCGCCTCAGTTGATAACTGTCGCAGATCACTTAAGAGGGCTTCTACAAGCTTCTTGGAATCCAACGGTGCTAATACAGACATTACGACATGTGCTTCCTACAACATTTTCAGCCTACAAATGAACAAAGCTAAGCAATGATAACGGTAATCAGGGTTTCGTACCCATAACTAAAGAAAAGAACATAACAGTTGGTATATTTATTAATATTTACAATAAGGGCGCTGACGACAGAGATGAGATCAAATCTAAGATGATAAAAATTAAGAACTAACAATGACTAAAATATTAAGACAGAAAATCAAATGGCGGACTAGGAAGTTTCTTGAAGAACACGTTGATAGAAAGTAACTGTCAAAAATCAGCTTGTGATAGTGTTGTGAATATCACAGATTAACAAGAACGCGCTTCAGTCTTTCACAATGGAATACTCAGACGATGGGTTCATGAGATACCCCACAATCTACATATTCTCGACGACTACTTGAGCTGGCTTTGAAGCTAGTAAACCAATCACGTTTTCAGGAATCCAATGATAGAAATGGGCTACGAGACGTTGAGCACCCAATAGGCCTGCAGAGAAAGCCTGAAAATAAAAAAAAATAACACAGGCGCATGAAACTCATGGTCATCCTGTTTATGTAAATTCAAAAATTTCAAGATGACAATCCAGTTTGCAACTTACAAAATGAAGAGCTTCAAATGTACTTGTAGGGTAATGGTGTATGAGAAGAGCAATAGCACATACTGCAAGGCACGTTAAAGTTTGCAGCAGTGCCCATACAGGACTCTCCTTCTTCGGAAACACCGAAACTTCATGCCAAGCTGAAAAAAATTGTAAAATAAAAAAAAACATTCGACAGATAAAAAAGACATTTTTATAGTGTAGTAAGCACTCTTTTACCGAACAAGTTTTTTGAAATGTAAACACTTTGAAAAGTGTTCAATATATGCTCGGCGTAAAAATGTCAACTATATAAGGATGTGGAATGATTTGTTCGTGATGCCTACTTTTTAAAAAGAGAACACTTTGAGAATATTCCTAGATCTTCCTCATTTCAAAGGAGTTTCGAAAGTTATACAATTTCTGAATCCTGCCAGGAAGTACAGAAAAGTTACAATACAAACAAAAATTCACCTGGAAGGAGTTCTCGATCAGCGGATTCCAACTGTGGCGAGTACGGATAGCAATAACCACTCATGGAAAACCGTGAGGCAAAATCTGAAAAACTTTCTTTGAAATCGATATAAAAGTGACAGAAGCAATGAGATTTGACAGAATAAAAACTGAAGAAAACTACTGCATGGTTCCTAGTAATACTTGGCTCAATCCAGAATCATTCAGAATAAAGTATGCTTTTTTTCAAGTTATCCAAAGGTCAACCAAAAACAAAAAACCAAAGAGACTGGCCCATTTGACAAAATTTCTAATATTTAGAACGAAGGCAACTGTGCTCAAACAAGAACAGAATTACATATGTTTTAAGCGCTACACAGTGAAAGCAGTACGTGGATTCCGCAAACCTTGCTTACGACGATTGGCGGCACGAAACGATGCATTACATGGTAGACTGCTTCCTACACTCGAACTGACTGCACATTGTTAATTTTAGTACTATACAAAAAACGACATGGATACGATTTTATGTTTCAGAGGACTCCACTTCTTAATAGCACGATACATACGTGGAAGTTTAATCTTAGAGAATGCTATACGGTGCGACTTTTTACAGAAATTCATTGTTCTTGAAAGAAAAATTCATGTAAAACTGCAAACAAATGCTATTATATCATAAATTATATATGCACTCCATGTTTCAAACATCATTTCATGGTGCTTTTTTATTACACATCGTGAAAATCAATACAAATGCAGCTATGCTTTCTTCAACTGCCAAGTCTATTTCAATAAAAATAGGGAAGCAATACCAACCTCCTTTCCAAGTATACTGCAACAGTTGCAGAGCTCCATCAATCCTTTTCCAATGCTGAATGTGGAAGAAAGCATAGGCAATGGCTTCCGAGTCACCACGTTTCAGATAGTGTTCAGGTGGGAGAATCATTGGACGCATTTCTCAAAATGACGAGGGACATATTACAAAATACCCAAGCAATTAGATAAGGATCGATAATGCATAAAAATGTAGAAAAATCCAAGTGAAGAGACTTGCCAAGTAAGTAAAGAGGAACATGAGGGTTGAACTCAATAGCTCGAGTAATCGCTTCGATAGCAGTTGCTTCAGCTGAAGACAGACCTCTTCTCGTAGATATGTCCGCAACAAACCTAACGATATTTCAATTTACTCAAAACAAAAACAAAGTTTTATTTTGCAAATCTCACTTGTCTGCTACAGCCCTAGCTTTCAATAAAGCTGAGGTATAACTGAGTACAGCCGACCTCGGTTCTCTCAAGTCTAAAAAAGAAAAGATCATTAGCTGAATATGGGAGATCGAACTGCTAAGCGTTACAAGTTGAAAAAGGAAGATTCTCCTATGAAAACACCCTTTAAAGCAAAAATCCGGAAGCAAGAACAGAATTACCAAAGCCATCATATCGCACAAGTAAGGCCTGAACGTCAGCATACGCTTGCATTTCTAGACAGGCTTCGATAAGATTCTCCTGCACACCCAAGATGTTGCTCATGGATCCATCGCGAATGATCTATGAAAGATTGTTTGAGGTACATAGAAGACGGGGAAAAAAACAGAGAACGCGTACAGATGTTTAAAGATTATAAAAATTATAGCATGAGATTGCACAGAAAATAAGGTACTGCAACCAGAACTGGCTTCACAAAAGGGAACAACGCCACTGTGTTCATTTATGTTTGTATTTTTCCCCCTCAAGCAGTGTCTGCTATACGAGTCAACTGTCACCAGTTGTCTTGATTTAAGGCTTAATTTCCATCTCTTGATTTAAGGCTGAATTTCCATCTATCTCTGTCCATCCAACTCATCTGTGGCCTTTCCCGTGGTCTTTTCCAGCGACTTCAAAGTCATTGCCGCTCTTCTGATATGGGTTTCATCTCTCCTACCACATGCCCGTAACATCGCACTCGTTCTTCCTGCATCTTCTTAGCGAT